GCGCCACCGCGCCGGGCCCGCTCTGCCCTCTTTATTCAGTGACAGTGGGTCCATTTCCCTCCCTCGAGCCTCTTCCATTGCCAGTGATCTGTTCAGAGAGGGTTCTGAGGGACCTGGTTTGCTGGCGGTGTCTGGGAGGTAAGGACCTGTAGTGATGTAGCAGAGCCCTTGAATGTGTCTCTCCTCCATCCTTGTGGTGAATCCTGGTCCTCATCCACGCCACTCACAAGCCCATTTGGCCGACCCTTCCTCCGTTCAGTTCTGCTTCTTTCCTGGCGGAACCTTGGGTTGGACCCTCCAGGAGGCAAAGGCACCTGCTACCGGGAAGTAGCAAGATATGGTCAATGTCAGCAGGGGGCGCCCCTGGGACTGGTCCTGAGGAGGTCTCCCCTGGGAAAGTGAGCAAGGCAGAGCCGCACTCGCCTGGGGCTGCTTCCAGCTGGTGACTGGCCGAGGGACACGCCTCTGTGTCATGGCCTCCCGCAGCAGCCAGCCTTGCTCCGGCCGCCGGTGGCCAAGGCCCCCTCAGAGCTGCTGGGGACCTGCTGGGGACCTGTTCCTTTCCCTTTAGGTTTCCCAGACGTCTTCCCTGTACCCCACAACTCTCCGAGGTCGTGGCCACCACCCAGCCATCAGAGCTGCAGCTGCCTTGAGTCACTGGGGACGTAGGTGGCTGTTGCAGTGTCTGGACTGGTTTTAGCAGCAGCTCTTCAAGATAAAGAGATAAAACTCACTGGGGCCTGTGGTGTTTATGCCTTTCACTCTTATTCCAGTAAAGTGTCTGATTATCATATTTTTAATCATATTTTTAAAGACTCTTAAGAAGGTGATTTCTTGAATGCCTAGAGAACATTCAGCAGATTGGCATTAGATTTCCTGCTCACTCATTAGCTAGGAGTCTGGGCCTTTGTTTTTGTTTGTTTAGATTTGTTTTGATTTGAAAGGCAAAATTACAGAGACAAGACAAAACTGCTTCCAGCTGCTGGTTCACTCCCCAAACGGCCACACCAACCGGAGCTGAGCCGATCAGGAACCAGGAACTTCTGGGTCTCTCACATCGGTGCAGGGGGCCTACTTCTGCTGTGTTCCCAGGCCATAAGCAGGATGCTGGCTGGGAAGTGGAGCAGCTGGGATTTGAACCAGTGCCCATATGAGCAGAGGATGAGTCTACTATGCCGCCACATTGGCCCCAGGAATATTTTTTTTCAAGCCAAGTCTTTCCTCCTTTTTCTTCCTTCCTTCTGTCCTTTTCTCTCTTTTCTTCCTTCCTCCCACCCTTCCTCCTTTCCTTTGCTAAGCCATTGAGGGCTTTCTCTGGCTGTCAGAGTCTGTTGATGAGCCTAGTATGTGGCCTTGTGCATGGTTCTGTCCTGCTGACAGCCAGGCCTTGCTGGGCCCATGCAGGCCCGGCCACACTCGCAGCCGCTCCCACACACTAGCACCGTCAGCTAGGCGCTTCTCAGCCCACTTGGATTCCTCTGCTCTCCATTCATTGTTTACAAACTTCAGCCCCAGTTCATGTTGGAATTTGGGGTTCTGGTTGATCTTAGGCCATCCCAGATTTTTTCCTGCTCATTTTCATGTGTCTTTGAACCACTGACTTTGGAGTCGGCCATGGAGTTGGTATAAGCACGACATAGCAAAATCATGCCCTGCATATATTTTTTTCAATGCTATGGGGATCACTTAGATTTTATGGTGTATTTTTATTTATTCTAAGGACTTGGAGAGAGAAATGAAGAGAGAGGCAGAAAGAATGCTCATCTGTTGGTTTGTACCACCTCCCCCAAGTGCCCACCAGGGTTGAGACTGAAAAGCCGGGGACTCAGAAGTCAACCCACTTCTCCTATGTGGATGGCAGGGACCCCACTCCCTGAACCATCACCGGCTGCCCCCCAGAGTGTACGTGAGTGGGGAGAGGAGCTGGGGTGTGATGCCAGCATTCCGGAATGGGATGCGGGCATGCCCAGCAGCAGCCACCTGCTCTGTCGAGTGCCCACCTCTTGTTGGGTCTCTTGAGCATCAGCCTGTGTTTGTTTGGTGCTTGGTTCCTGTAGCCTTGTGTCTCTGTGGTCACGCTCTGTGGAGTTGAGACACTTCTCCTTCAGGCCTGGCGTGACCTCTGACCCATTTTCCTCATCACCATTGGACTTTTCCTTGTTGGTTCCAAGTTATATGAGCTTCTTGGCAACAGAGGCATGTTGGCTGTGTTGGCATGGTGAGTCAGAAACAGCTGCCGCCAGCTGGTACTTTTTAAGTCTCTTAGAGCAGGGCCAGCTACCGCTCAGACCAGGACTGGCCTCACCAGGGCATCAGCCCCCGTGAGCAGAAGGGGAGTGAGAAGGCCGTGTATCTATGAAGCTCTGTAGAGCCAGGTAGTTTCTTTTTATCTAGGGCTTGAAGAGGCATCGAGAAAAGCATTCCCTATAAGGCCCTTGGAAAAGAGTATTTATTTATTTACTTTCATTTACTTGAAAGTCAGAGCAAGAGAGAGAATCCCCCACCCACACACTCGCTCTCAAAGCTAGAAGCCGGGAGCTCCCTCTGGGTCTTATGTGGGCAGCAGAGGCTTAAGCCCTCAAGCCTTTATCACGCCTTTCATGTCCTCCCCGGTGTGAGCAGAAAGCTGGATCCCAAGTGGATCAATGGCAAGCTGAACCAAGGCTCTAATATGGGGTATAGATTTCTCTAGAGAACTCCACTATGGCGTGACGCCTGCTTCCTCCCAGCGTCCTCTGCCTTAGGATTTCAAAAATACCCAAGTCCTGGGGTGGACGTTGTGTCTCAGCCAGTTAGGTCACAGGACTCCCTTATCCCAAATCCAGATGCCAGTCGGAGCTAGTGCATGGTGGCCGAAGTACTTGGATTTCCACGGAGTCCATGGGGAACACTCGGCTGGAGTCCCTGGCTCCTGGCTTCAGCCTATTAGAAAAAAAGTTACCCAAATCCTTTCTTCCCACGGGCGCCAGGGAAACAGCGATGGTGTGAGACAGCTGTAGGATGGAAATTCTCTCAGTCATGGCTGTGGAGCAGGAAAATGAGTTGCGGGGAAGTTTATTGTGACCTTGGGACATTTTTGTCAAGAGGTCCCCGAGCAGGCAGGGCACGGTTCCGTCCACACACTGGGATCAACGATGCCGTTAGAAAGAAAATGCTGACTCATCTCTGCCGCGGACCATTTCTAAGAAGCATTGTTAAAAAGCAGGAGACACTGCGAGAAGGCTTACGTACGTGTGCCCATGCATAGGTGTATGCTTGGCAAATTTCTAGGAAAAGAAACCACAGGGAATTGTTAACTGTGGTTGCCATAGGCCCTGGGGTGTAACAGAAGCTGGCTTTCCAGTGTGTACTGTTTGACTAGTTCACTGAGGGCATGGAACAGGTTTGCAATTCAACCAACGAACCAACCAGCAAACAAACCTGGTATGACAACATAGACGAAAAAAGATGGTGGCATTGGTCGCCACTGAAGGATTTGCTGATCAGGTGGTCGGTGCCTGCCTTCTGCCTTAGCCCTAAAGGTTCCCCGGGGGTGCATCAGGAGTGGCTCCCTGGTGGGGAGCGGAGAGAGTGGTGGAGGAGGAGGGAGGGCAGTGGGCGGGCAGGCAAGTAGGGGCTGCTAATTTGGATCGTCTTTCCTCCCAGGAGGACTGCCTCACGCTCCTTCCCTGGGCAGCCGCACCTGCAGCTATGATCCTCTTGTTCCTGAGTGCAGCCCTGGCTTCCTCGCTTTCTTGGGGGACCTCAAGCCCTCACTTGGTTCTCTTGGGTACCAGCACCTTCCTGACTTTCCTACCAGTAGATGGAGTCCTAGGACCCGTCCTGGAAACCCTTGTGGGAGTGTGATGGCTTTCCATGCCTGCGGATGGGTCAGAGGTTGTTCTTGAACTAATGAACGATTCAGTCCAGGAGAGGATGCTGTGACCGGCGCGGTGACCCCTGCTGCCAGTGACTGGGTCAGCCCTGTCCTGACGCGGCCCAGGAGGCGAGGGAGGGAGGATGGGGGACTGCAGGAGTGAGAATCAGAGCACTGATTCTGGGACCCAGGACACAGCCTCTGGACCTGCTCAAGCTGCACGTGTTCACGCTTCTGTTATGAGAAATGTTCTGTTTAAACCAGTTTGGGTCAGGGTTTGTGTTGTCATGACATTCAACAGAACAAATTCTGATTGCAAAAAAAAAAAAAAGCAGCATGTTTATGCATAATTGATCAACTTGTAAAAGTGTATGTGTGTGTGTAAGGAGGACGAGTCTGGAGTCCCATCCATGTGGGTCTCTGACCACCATCTTTTTACTTTATCATGGTCGTGAAGCATACCCATGCAACTGCTGGTTCCTGCTTCCGTACTCCCAAGTTGCATGAGATGTCCAATGCCCTAAGACAGGCTTTGCCTTCGGTGCTTTGGCCCAACTGCAGGCTGATGGCGCGTTCTGAGCACATCTGAGGTGGGCAAGGCTAAGCTCTGGGCGGAGCAGACACACCTGTCTTACACAGCTTTATCTGGGTGTGACCCCTCCATAAATGCAGAAAACCTGTACACAAGGTCATGGGGGGTTCCAGCTGGGTGCCAGGCTTAGAGGTCATTTCCCTTTGTTAAACTTTTCAAAATATTGTTAAACTTTTTAATTTGAAAGGCAGAGTTACAGAGAGAATCTTCTGTTTGCTAGTTCACAACCCAGATGGCCAAAATTGCCAGAGCTGAACCAGTCTGAAATTAGGAGCTAGGAGCTTCTTCCAGGTCTCCCATGGCTGCAGGGACCCAAGCACTTAGGCCAGCTTCTGTTGCTTTCTGAGGCACATTAGCAGGGAGCTGTATCAGAAGTGTAGCAGCCAGGACTTGAACTGGTGCCCATATGGGATCCAGCACTGTCAGTGGAGACTTAACATACTATAGCTTTGCGCAGTCCAGGGGAAGTACTCATTATCCTTGACTAAGTCCATCAGCTCGGGGTGGGGAATGAGGAGGCGGCCTCCCTCTAACCTGTCACTGCTGTTGCAGGCGAGAACATGAGCCCACTGAACACTAGCAGCACAGTGAACGCTAGCAGGAGCTGCTCGTTCCGGGACGTGGATGAGCTGATGCGCACACTGCAGCTGGCTGTGCACATTCCCACCTTCCTCCTGGGCCTGCTGCTCAACCTGCTGGCCATCCGTGGCTTCAGCGGCTTCCTGAAGAAGAGGTGGCCGGAGTACGCAGCCACCTCCATCTACATGATCAACCTGGCTGTCTTTGACCTGCTGCTGGTGCTCTCGCTGCCCTTCAAGTTGGTCCTGCCGCAGGTGCGGTCCCCGACGCCGGCCTTGTGCACACTGGTGGAATGCCTGTACTTTGTCAGCATGTATGGGAGCATCTTCACCATCTGCTTCATCAGCCTGGACAGGTTCCTGGCCATCCGGTACCCACTGCTGGTCAGCCACCTCCGGTCACCCTGCAAGATCTTCAGCGTCTGCTGTGTCATCTGGGTCCTGGTGTGGACAGGGAGCATCCCTGTTCACAGCTTCCATGGGCAGGGAGAGAAGTACACCTGCTTCCACAACATGTCGGACAGCACGTGGAGCGCCAAGGTCTTCCTCCCCCTGGAGGTGTTCGGCTTCCTGCTGCCCTTGGCCATCATCGGCTTCTGCTCTCTGCAGAGCATCCGTGTTCTGCTGAACCGCCGTGCCTGCACGCAGGACTGGAAGCAGCAGAGGGCCTGCATCTGGAGCATCGGCGCCAGCCTGGCCGTCTTCATCGTCTCCTTCCTGCCCGTGCACCTGGGCTTCTTCCTGCAGTTCCTGGTGCGCAATGGCTTCATCGGGCACTGTGGAGCCAAGCAGAGCATCAGCTTGTTCCTGCAGCTGTCGCTCTGCTTCTCCAACATCAACTGCTGCCTCGACGTCTTCTGCTACTACTTCGTCATCAAGGAGTTTCGCACCAACATCATGGCCCACCGGCCATCCAGGGTGCAGCTGGTCCTGCAGGACACTGTGACCTCCAGGGGCTGAAGGCAGGGAGCCCCACACAGAGCAAGGAGACCCCGGCCCTGAGCTCCCGTGTCAGCTGCGATGGGGCGGGTGAGGGCCGCCCATCCGTGGCTGTGCTTCCATGTTGATGCCCACGCACCCACCCAGCGCCAGCTTCCTTTGTTACTCCCAGAGTCCTCTCAGTGGCATGAACTGTTTGGGGCTTCTCAGATGAACCGGAAGAATTCCTGATGCCGATGGCCAAGACTAGGGAGGGAAGAGTATGATCACCCCAGCGAGGCCGTTGCCCAACTCTCCCCATTTGTCTATTGGGGAAGATTCCAGAACGAAAGAAGTGTTACAGGAAAGACTCAATGGAGTCACTCCAAGTGGCACAGACGGGATGGTAGGACCAGGTCATGCCCCTTTCTGTCTGGGGATCCCAGCATGGGATCAGACTTTGGTGTGTTGTCTGGCACAGCTCTGTCAGCTAACAGCCAGCCCAGAAGAGGAGAGCAGGTGGGTGTGGCCAGGGCAGGGCAGGTATTGGCAGGTGGTCCCAAGTTTTTCCCCAGGGCCAAAGTTTACTATGCCTCTGGGAGGATGGAGGAAAACGGAGGGCCCTGGTCCGTGCCCCAGGGCCCTAGGAAGCAGTAGACACTTGGTGGCAGCCGGGGGTAGAGAACTCTTAGGCACTGTCGACACCCAAGAGCCAGGTAGGGCAGGAAGGATACACCTGGACAGGTGTGAGACCGGCTAGGGGCTGACCACGGCCATGCATTGAGGTGTCTACTGTATGGACACTGCTCGTCTCTCAGGGCAAGGCGAGGCCCTGGCAGAGCTGGGAGACCCTGTGGGTGCATGTCCTTGAAGACACCGAGAAAGGACTGGTACAGCCACTGGAGAGGGAGGCATGGCTGGGCAGCTGGGGCTGGGGACCATCATGTCCTCGGTCCTCCGAACCAGGCCTTGAGGCAGCAGGGGCTCGGGCCTGCGAATAAGTAAGCCTGAGCTGAGGCCTCTGGAGCTGCTGCGCCAGCCTGGGCCTTCATGGGGGACAGTGCAGCTGTGGGTGCTGAGAGATGCAGCGGCACAGGCTGCTGTGGGATGAGGAGTGAGCAGAACTGGGGCAGAAAGTCAGCCTGGGAGAAGGACAGCCCCTTGGGGAGGGTGGGGGAGATAAGAGCTGGGACCCAGGAGTGGGAGAAGATAGGGGAGGAGGAGGTTGAGGGAGGAGATGGAGGGAGGGGGAGGAGGTTGTGTAACAGTCCCAGAAGGGAGTGGGGATGGGGTGGGGGTGGGGCTGCAGCTCCGAGGCCATCCCAAGCCCACCTGCCTCCTGTGGCTCTGTCTTTGCTGCCACAGGGAGCTGGCCTGGTGGCACTGGTGGGGTGGCCTGCATGTACCTGGGCTCCCAGGAGACGCTCAGGGCCACCACCTTGCTTAGAGGAAAAGGCCTCAGACCTTTCCTCCTCCCCAGGGATGTCCAAACCGAGAAACTGGTCTGCAGTAGCCGGGCCTTGCTCAGGCCCAGGTGGGGTCCAGCGGCTGCAGCCAGCATCACAGGAGTCCTAGTATCCATGGGCAGAGGTACAGGGGGCAGCCTAGGGCAATTCGCCAGCCAGGGGCAACTAGCGAGTTGAGGGAAGCCAGAACTTGGTGGCGGCCAAGGTCAGAGCGGCTAGAGGCTACCACTGGCCATGAATGTGCCCCTACAGTTAATCTGGACAAGCCAGGGACTTCCTGATCTAAGTACATCTGTAAAAGCAGCATAGTTAACTAGAAGAGCCTCCGATTTGCCAAATAAACAGCTTCACACAATCCCATGTCTTGTGTTCATTGACACTGGCTGGTTCCAGGGAAGAGCTGGTTCCCAATAGCCCAGCCAGATGACAACTGGTTCTGTCCCTTCAGTGGTCAGGTAGGCACCAAGCATGAGGCCTCAGGGAACTGCCTTCAGGCCCGTGTTGGCAACAAATGGGCAGGAGCCAGACCCTGCGGGCCCAGTGGCACCGCCCCCCAACTCCCCAGGCTGCTCGGCAACCTATAGCTCCCACTGGTCTTCAGGCCCCACACGTCCTCCATCTTGCTCCTGCCCTTTTGTCCTACCACCTGCAGCAGCAGCAGCACCACAGCCACAATGCCTGGACCCCTGTCTCCACCAAGGCCCAGTGCAAGAGGCCTGCTGATCAAAGGACTGTATCCGGAAGTCCTCCCAGCTGCCTGCAAGGTCCTTCCAGCTCTCCCACGCAGCTCAGACTGTTTCACCTGTTCCCACGTTAGTCCTACAGAGTTCATGGCCACTGGGACCTGCTAGGGGCTGGCCTGGGCTGCCCCTGGCTCCTAGTCACAACCCCAAGCACAGACCAGGTGTGGCCAGGGAGCTCGGGGCTGGCTGGGGAGGGCATGGCCTTGCCCTGGACACTTCTTACTGAAACAGGAGACCACCTGGAGGCCACATCTCCCCTGGGAAGATGTGGCCATCTGGGAAGATGCCAGACCTCAAGGGCATTTGCCCACTCTGTTCTGAGTCATCTTTTTAGGGACATTACATGAAAGTTATGCAGCAGCTGTTGGGATGCCAAGGGCAGGGGCTGTAACCCAGTACACAAATCAGACTCACCCAAGAAGACTCTGGACAGGGTGGGCGTTTTGTAACAGGCAACACCTGCCTCCCACAGCCAAATGCCGGTTGAAGTCCCAGCTGCGCTATTCTGCTGATACATACAGAGAATAGATACATTCTGTGAATCTCTTTTTAGAAGATTGATCGGAAAGGCAGATATACAGAGAGGAGAGACAGAGAGGAAGATCCGTCAGATGGTTAACTCTCCAAGCGGCTGCAATGGCTATAGCTGATCCAGCCCAAAGCCAGGAGCCTCCTCTGAGTCTGCCCTGTGGGTGCAGGGTCCCAAAGTCTTGGGCCATCCTGGACTGCATTCCCAAGCCTCAGGCAGGGAGCTGGGTGGGAAGTGGGGCCGCTGGGATTAGAACCGGCGCCCATATGGGATTGTGACGCGTTCAAGGTGAGGACCTTAACTGCTATGCTATCACGCCAGGCCCTATTCTCTGTATATATCTCATGCTACATGCTCAGCTCTGCTGAGGACAGCAGCCTGCCAGGGCCAAGGAGGAGTACTGGGGGCATCATTGAGAGGACAGGGGCTCAGAGACCCCTGAGGCCCTCCACAGATCGCTCACCACTGTGGCTTCTTCCTGTTTGCTTCCCACAGGCCACCTCTCACGCATGCCCAGGACACACAGCCATGCATGGTTGTTTGGGGAACGTGTGGACTTTGAAGCGAATCAAGGTGGACTCCGGTAGCTGGAAGTGGAGGACAGATGTCCCTCTCCACCCCTGCCAACTCCCAAGTCTTGGGCCGACTGCCCCTCCCAGGCTGGGAGCTGCTGCCAGAAGGGTTTTTGTTATAAGCTACGACAGAAGTGGGGGGTCCCCTGCACTTGGAAATCTTGCCCCAAGGAGGCAGGCCCAGACTGCCATGGGCTCTGCGTGGTGGAGGGTCAGGGTGGGAAGAGCTCACGTGGAGGTCTCTGGCAGTGTCTTGTTCTGGGGGAAACGGGGATGTTGCCTGCAGTCTAGCCCCGGAAATGCTGCTCCTTTGGGGCTCCTGAGGAAGCCACGAGGGTGCCCTGTGCTGGAGCGGCACTGCCAGGGTCCGCAGTGTGTGCGTGTGGTTCCAGCGGTGCCTTACGAGAGAGAACGAGCAGGCACCACTGAGAATGTCAGAACGGTGCACAGGGACCAGGCCAGCCTCAGCTGAGCCCAAGTGGCCAACTCTTGGTCACTGCATCGCAGCCGGTCGACTGTGTGCACCTGTGGTCACTCGTTCATTGCTGTGACAAAGCACGTGAGGCAGGCTACTTTGTAAAGAAAAGGGGTCTATGCCGACTTATAGGGGATTTGAGGTGGTTTTCTTCTTGCTGGCAGGGTTCCATGGCCCGCGGCAGGTGCATAAGTGTCCACCAACTCTCATTCTCTCTGAAGTTCAGCCTTCCCAGCCCTGCTCGCCCCCAGCCTCCAAATGCCAGTGTCCATTTGCTGCCCACCTGTTAGGACACTGTGATGGGGATTAAACTTCAGCAGCACCCCTTGAGGGAGGCAGTAGCCTGGCTCGGGGTAAACCCACAGGCCTGGATGGTTGGGAGGCCGAGCCCAAGCCCGGGAGTGGACGACGGGCTCTCCTGGTAGACATGGGGAACATCGTGAAAGGGCTGTGCAGCTGCAGCCTGGGATGTTCAGGAGCACCCCAGAGGCCGGGCCCCAGGGAGGTGTTCTTGGGGGAGTGACTGCTCCCACAGGAGCCAGGGCCTCCATGCTGCCCCTCCAGGCTCCCTGAGGCTTTGGCGCTCACTGCCAGGGGCTGCATTTGCCAAGGGTATTAACTACAGTCCGACTCCAGAGGCCAACATTGACAGAACACAGACCCTGGGCTTCAGTCCACATTACCACTGCCATGGTGCCCATTGACCAGAATTTCAGTGGAAACACCTGTGTCCCAGGTCCACACACAAGGCTGATTCTTGCAGGCCCCAGTGCTCAAAACCCCGTTTACTCTGAGGTCCCCACAGCTACTGGACTCTTCTCAGGAACCACACAGCCCAGTTCCCTCAGCCTGGGGAGCGGCACCCTAGTCCTCCCTCCGGTCTAGTCTGGGCAGCCCCTTCTCCACCGGAACTTTGCATGCAAACAGCTCCCTCTGTAGGCAGAAGGAGGAAAGACATGCTAGCCCTGAGCAATTCAAAGCACTGCTATCCTTACAGCATCATGTGCAGGAAGCCACTTTCCGTCTTGGCCTCAGCAGGGGGAGCAAGGCACTCTTAAAATTGGAGAGGTAGCAATAGAGATGTCATAGTCCCAACTGCTGCTTCATTCCCCAAATGCCTCAAACAGGCAGGTCTTTGGGATCCAAGCCGGGAGCCAGGAAGCCAATCCAAGTAGCCCTTGACCCTTTTTACCCAAATTAACTATGTAAAGATTGTCAAAAATAAATTAAAAAAAAAAAAAAGAATCTACAGGTTCCTGAGAAAGGACAAAGTCAGGTGCTGGAGCAGAAGGCCAAGGCTGAATCCTGGCTCCAGGGGCAGGCATTTGGGTGCAGTAGGTTAAACCATGGCCTGTGGTACCATAATGCCCACATGAATGCTGGACTAAGTCTAGTTGCTTTCAAACCGGCTGCCTCTTAGGCAGGGAGTAGAAGATTGAGTGCATGCCTGGGCCTTGCCGCCCAGGTGGGAGGCCTGAATGGAGTTCCTCCTGGCTCCTGTCTTTAGCCTGGCCCAGCCCCAGCCCCAACCCCAGCCATTGCACCCATTTGGGAAGAAAGCAAAAAGTAGATTAAAACTTCTCTCTCCATCTCTCTCTGTGTAACTACCTTCCAAATAAATAAGTAAATCTGGGGCTGTCACTGTGATATAGTAAGCTAAGCTTCTGCCTTGGGTGCCAGCATCCTAAATGGGCACCAGTTTGAATCTGGTTGCTCCACTTCCAATCCAACTCCCTGCTTATCAACTGTGGGAGACCCCGAGGAAGCTCTTGGCTTTGAGTTGGCTCAGCTCCAGCCTTTGAGACCATTTGGGGAGTAAACCAGCAGATGGATCTCTGCATCTCTTTTCTTACCCTGTCTTTCAAATACAGATAAAATGATGATTCTATAATTAAAGAATCTTACCCCCCCCCCCAAATCCTGGCTCTAGCCCTGGGCACCTTGTGAACCCAGCCAAGTGCTAGACTTCAACTGGAAAGCAGCTCTGACCACACATAGGACACATGGCAAGTGCCCCAGGCACAGGAGCTGTCTGACTCGCAGGCATGGCTCAGAAGGGAAGCACCAGGGGCTCTCTGTGCAGGCCGCTGCATCTGTCCCCTCCATGCCAGGGAGACCTCGTATGACCCAGGAGACCTGGGATGTCTTGGGAATTGTCTGCCCTGTGTAAGGCAGAGCATACAGGCTAACAAGTGCCTAGGATGCAAAAATGCAGTTTCCAAATCGATTCCCCCCAGTCTGGGGGCTCCCTGTCCCCAGGTTCAACCTTCCTGGGCTAGGAAAGGCTATTCCAAGATGCAGAAAAGCTGCGTCTCTGTTGAACACATTCAATCCTTCTCCAGTCCTGACTCCCTAAATAATTCAGTGCAGCAGCCATGTACCAAGCACACGTGATTGAGAGGGCAGGAGGAGTGTGTGGCTTCT